CTGTATACCATATTGTCAATTAAATATAAGAAAATAAATTATTGAAATACCATCATACATCATTGACGTTTGTTGTTGTCATAGTTTACAATAATAAAATTTCTGTTTTTGCATGTCCAACTATGATAGAATAATCCAAATTTGTCTCAATTATTTCAAAAAATCTAACCGCCTTTATCTCGAAAACGGTGAAAGATAAGATAGTTCTATCTTACATAGATTTGTCTTAAAATTTAACGTAGAATCTAAAAATTACATAAAATACAGGGTGTCCCTTCTGGGACACCCTGTATAAATAATTATACCAAATTCGAATTTTTTGTTTTAAATAAAAATATTTTTGTATTGAACTTTTTTTTTTGTAGCACCTGTAATTACCTCTCCAGGTGGGGCGTCAAAATATAGTCCTGTACATTTTTTTGGGAATCACATATAGGGATACATGGAAATCACTTGAGAATTTCTGTAACCTGGAAGTCACTAGGAATCTGCTAGGACTCCATGAGAATCACATAGGAATCCATTGGCAATCGCTGAAAATCATGTGGTATTTTTTTTTTTTAATTAATGGAAATATCGTCTCACTCCAACCCAGAAATCACACATGACACATTTTAAACGATACAGCGTACCGGTCAGATGTGTATATAACTGAACCCGAGATTACGAAATGTTAAGAATTTGAAGAAGAAGAAGAAGGAGATGACGATTAGGTTTGTTCTCACAGAAATCACAAACCAGTTAGAGCGTTTTGATTGGTGCAAATCGCCAACAATCAGTTTTCTGATTATTTTCAACCAATCAAATTCGCTCAAGTCGATCAAGTATTGAGAGGTATGCGAATGTCCCTGAGAAAAAGTCAGGAATTCAAGGCAATAAGATGTTGAAAAGGGAAAGTAGAATAAGTACTAGGCAGCACTGGCGCCGACTACATGGGGGCATTGGGGCAGGTGCACCCATGGGAGATCTCGTAGGGATTGCGGAAGTACAAACGTGTTTTTTGGTCATTCTGTTCCGTGTAGTAGCATCAGTATCATGTAATTTAAATGTATGTACACAACTTTGTATAAGAATTTTACTATACATAAGTGGTATTATAGTATTCTGTCCTTTCGTTATGTGGTCAGTTCTATGCTCTATTACATAGGCAATTTTTCGCGAGATAACCAAGCATGCTCGATTATGCTTAGATGTTATATGTATCAATTTGGTCATACTTCCCTAACTCCCCCACTATCAAATTCTGTGATACTCGAGTATCAAAAACACGTAACTTCTTCTGGAAATCATCTTTTCTACATCCAAAATCGATAAAAAAATTAACTCACTAGCACAGCCTGAATGGCATCGAGGTCTGCGGCTGACGTCATCACTATGAGATGCTGATAGTGATGTCACTCGCAGGAAGGGCAGGGATGTGCCGTAGACTATAAAATCTACTTTACGCGGTTTGTCTACTCGTAATCTACGTATTGTTTACGTCCACTTTTTTCCATGTAAACTATATAGACAATGTAGACTGTAGAGTAGACAACGGAAATGGCGTGTGCGTAGTGCGTAGCAATTACGTGAGGAAAAGAGACTTTCCGCGAAGGTTATTTTCTACTCCCGCGCGAAATAGTACTTTTTTCGCACGCATATTTCAGGACATGAAAGAACCAGCGGACTGAACATTGCATAATTATTTCACTTTTCCGCACTAGTGCGAAAAGTGATAGTTTCTTGGCATGCGTACAGAAAAAAGCACTTTTCGCACACTTCTATAGAAAAAAAATTTCAGCTTCGGCGGCGCCTGAGACGAGCTTCCCCCTCCTTATAAACAATGTTATAAAGTCGTTATCCTGCAGCCATGAGGATTCTCAAAAGTCCGCGCTTCTGTTAGGCAGGGCGAGAAGCAAATATAATAAATAGCACCATTTAAATCAGAATCAGAAATAAGTTTGTCGAGTGAAACCCTAACTGAAGATTTCTCTGATTCAGATGAACATCCTAGTGAAATCCAAGAAATATGTATTATTTCAGATCCATATTATGCAATGTAAAGGCGGTTACACACGGACGTGGATGGCTTGATACATATACGTGCATACATCAACGTGCAAACAACAACGTGCATGTCACCTTTGTACAGACGCTCGCACAAAACTCTCAGTCTTGCTACTCTTGCTATAGTGTATTCCGAGTATGCATACAAAATTTCTAGCGATTCCAGAATTCATTTGAGCGTCATTCTACAGTTTGCACGCGACGGTATTCTGCATACACATTGATGTTTTTGTTTGCGCGTTCATGTATGTGCGTACATGTTTTGAGACATCCACGTCCGTGTGTAACCGCCTTAACACACGCAATGGTATCAGGGCTCAACAATTATTTATACCTACAACAAAATGTGTGGGTGTGGACAACCATGAAAAAAAATGGATGGATGAGTTGCAAATACAAAATTTGTCAATTTTTCAGTGGAAACGTGTTTTTATAAGGGAAGAAGACTGCGAATACGAATGTGAAGCTTAACAATTAGAAATCGTTTTCGTAATAAAATCAGCTGGAAAATGGATGACTGTAGGAAATATAATCAATTGGGAATGATATAGGAATCCCTAGAAAAAATGGAAATCAGCTGGTAATCATACAAAAATATCAGATAATCATTGGCAATCAGTCGCAATTCTTGGGATGGAAATACATAAACTTCATTGATCAGTGATTGTCAAATATGGAAATCATTGAACATTTGTAAACATAGTGGAACAACTACACAGCCTAAAATGCCAAGAAGAGATAAAACTAAACATATAATCAGTGAAGAAGTTTTACCTACCAAATTAAACCAGAAAGCTGCTCATCAACATGAACAATAATAGGTCAAGTTAAAGAGCATAAACCACAGAAGAAAAAAATTAAGCAGAATCGACTGTCAGATAAAACATATTAAAGAAGATACTGCCAAATTACAAAATCTAATAAAATAACTTCAGAAGAAGTTGAAAACAGCAAAATAGCAACTTCCGAACAGGAAGGAAATAATTTTACTACAAAAAAGGAAAACTGAGGATGGAGACGAAGAAATTTTGTGAATCAAGAAAATTTAGACTTAAATCCTGATCCCCAATACACTGAAAAGGCAAAATGCAACAAAAGTTTCTACACATCAAACAGCTGTGAAATCAGACTTCAAACATTACATTTTAGGGAAACTCAATTTTAATTAAATATAACTAAGCAATCTTCATCAATTATTTCATAAAATCATTGATTTTCACATAAACAGCGAATATCCCGATACTTTCTCGTGTAATAAAATCATAGCCTAGCAACCAGCTTTTCAGTAAAGTGCGTCATCTAATTGATTACTTTAACGCAAATTAATTACCGTTTGAAAATAATTAACAACAAATCTTTAAACTGCCAGCCAAAATCTGCTGTTTCCCGAACTAATTGATTTAAAAATAAACATTTTTTGGAGTTTTTATTAACACTTCGGACCAGGCAATAGAAATTTATGTTAACAATGAGCTGCTGAATGCAATTTGGGCTTTGTTAAACTATTAAAATAAAGTATATATGACGTAAGTAAGTATCCTACTTTCCTAAATGTTTTGGAAAAGTTAAATATACTAAAAAGTTTCAGGTCAAGTTTACTTGTATCATGGCGGTATAGAGTGACGAAGGCCAGCCAGATATCTTTTTTATCGACAATAATAATAGTGTAATTATTTCCTTTGTTATCTGTCACACGGTCGCGTTATACAACCCATAAACCAGGAGACTATAGGTATTAACAAATATTTGCCTTAAACTAATTAAAATGAATCAGCACAGAAAATTGATGAGTACGTATAAATTTCTGCAGACATAACAAAATAATTACAATGTTAAACAGTTGTTATTAGCTTTTGGAATTAGAGTGTAAACTAGGGTATGAAAGTGAGATATCAAATGAGAATTGGCAATAAGAATATAGAGCGCTGTATAGGTTTAGGATGGGCAGGGAAATTCAAATTTTTCTTATCCTCAATAACGAATTAAGAAATTTAAAGGAAGATGAACAGGTCATAGAGTAATAGGTGAACTGAAAAGTTAATGAATTAAACAACTAGGAAGGAAGAGATACAGTTATTAGATGGAGCGATGATTTCCAGAGAAAAGCAGAAAATTCGATAACATTGAACAGGCAAAAGTGGAGCCCAAAGCAAAGTGGATCATACGGATTCATGGATGATTATGAAGATGAATTCTACAAATATGGATCTTTATTTCTGTTATTATTTAGGTCTGTTCGCAGAGAAATCACAAACCAGTCAGAGTGAATCTCATTGGTTGAAACTAGTTTTCTGACTGTTTCTGATTGTTTTCACCAATGAAATTCGCTCTGACTGGTTTGTGATTGCTGTGCGAACAGGCCTTTTATCGTAGTGTATTTATTGTTTACTTCAACTATTGCGTCTCGCATCAGATGAATTATAGAGAAAAATGCCCATTGAAAAACAATGTTATTTTGATACATCAAATCAATAAATATTGACAATTTAAGGCACTGTTTTCGACATGATGCTATCACTACAGGAAAAAAAGGGAAATCTGTATATACATCCTCATTTAGACAAACAACTTTAAGAAGCAGCAAAGATGGTTGTATAAATGCTAAAACAAGGCAAAAAAGAAGTCTGACATACAGAAATCAATAAAATAAAACAGAGAAGTCTGAAAAGAAACAACGAAGAAATGAAAGAAAATGTCATAGAGAGCAATAAAAACGAAAAATTCCTAAAATCAGAACTTGGGGGCTAGAAAATCAAGCACCTCCAAAATAAAGAACAGATTAACGATTTGAAAAACAACAAATTACTAGAAGCTGGAATGCTGGAAAACCAATAGAGGCTATCGTATCAACATACTAACTTGAGAAGGAAGATATAGCACCCAAAACTATAATCTATTTTTATATCAAATGACATGTAGCTAATTTTACATTTTAACACACAAGATATTCTTACCTGTTCCACACATGAGCTGGTAAGTCTTTCGATCCATTACCTATGGACAAGCGAATCCGGTTCAAAGATCCTAATATGCTATTATCGGAACGTCTTCTGGTAAGTTTTGCCGCAGCTGGTATTTGATTGGCTGGTAATACTAGAGTAGGTGCTGATCTATTTCCTGAAAAATTATAAACATTGGATTATTTTAATTTATGAACTAGCTATACTTATATAGATAATATTAATATACACAAAGCAAGGCTTTATTTAATTTCTAAGAAATGATATCATAATAGTTGTGTAAAATAATATAGACAGTAGGCAAGTATTTTTGAACATTTTGCTGAGTTAAATTTAATGATTATGTAATGAGGTTTATTGGAAACGAATGCAAAACATTTCAGCTGTGTGAATATCTAGAGTTTGTTTAATGTTGCAACAACACTTAACACATCAGAGGTTCGAATTTTAGAAGAAAATGCATCAAATTTTAATTTGTTTTGAAAAATATTTTACAACTAAGCTTGAAGCAAGTCAAAAACCTCAAAATTGAAAAGGGTTTAAGATTCCATCGATTTACAATGATTGATGAGTTAGAAAAACTGTTATTCTCTATCGCATATACAAACAAACAACAAACTCTTAGTTAGTTATAGGTACTCGCCTAATAGTTTCTGACGTTGTCCCAGTCTAGGAAGACGCATATGTTCATGTTCCATTTTGACATCGTCGATCAATTTTTGACCCAGCATCTCCTGGTTCCTGTCCTCGATACTGATAGGACTATTGTTGGTCATTTTTGATGGTGAAAGTCTATGCTAGAACGTATACTTAATAAAAAATCACAGCTGGGGTGTTGAAATAAGCGCTTGCTCGCGTTGAATATCACAGATTCGCTTTCCGTTTTCTGAATAAATGGTAGTAGGAACTTTTCTTTTATTGAGGAGTTTCTAATCTATCTGAAAACAAAAAACTTTGATAAGAAAAATGATTTGGAAAACTTTGGAAGAACATAACTTTTTTTCTATTATAGATAGAAAGCTGAAATTTTCACTGAAATTCATCTCAATAAAGGGACTTCAATCTCTGGAAATTTCAGCTCATTTGCCCTTATAGTTCCTGAGATAACATCGTGTTAAGCAATTTGGGGTGATCCATCAATTTTTCAATTTTTCTGAGTGCCTTTTTTAATAGATGTCGGCGTCAAATCTGAGAATAATATAGTGTATGGAGTTTGGGGGATGTTAATTGACCATTAGGATACAAAATCTCAAAAAAAATTTTGAAATTTGATCGTTTTAGTAAGAAAGTACTTAGCTACCTTATGATTTAGATTTTGGAAAACTTTGGAAGGGCATAACTTTTGTTCTATTATAGATAGAAAGCTGAAATTTTCACTGAAATTTATCTCAATAAAGGGACTACAATCCCTGAAAATTTCAGCTTATTTGCACTTATAGTTCTTGAGATAAAATTGTGTTAAGCAATTTGGGGTGATTTATCAATTTTTCAATTTTTCTGAGCAGTGCGGCAGCTTAGCTAGGATATTTCAACATATTGTGCACTTTTTGATAAAGGCACTAAATTTGGCACAGAGGTAGACCGATGTAATATGGACAAATTTGGATGTGGAGCCATCGGCCAAGTACCCCCTGGCGTCCTTGGCGCCGATTTTCTAATATGGTCGCCAGTGGACACCACGAAAGACAACAGAAGTTAGATAAAGTTTGCTGGTGAAGGTTTTAGTGAATGTTTATTGATGGTTCTGAATAAAAACATGCCAGATAGTCTGTTTATTACACAGGGTGGGGTGGGGCAACGAAAAACTTCCTACCTAGGTTTTTTCAGGTCTCGTCCAGGGTTTAAGGTGATTAATCAAAAATTGCTCGGACACGTCAATTTTTGTTTTTTGGGGGATACATTTTAATGGTATTTTCATCCTCTACTTGTGAACTTCTAAGCGGGGGTGACAAGAATCCGCAAAATTTCAAATGGAAACAAGGTTCGAGTGATATATTGTATCTACTATTTCCTAACTTTGACAAGCCGCAATTTTGGCAGGGTAAATAGTAGTAACTCAGAATTTCGAGGTTATGATCTTAATGAAAATTTCTATCAAATCACGTATCACTCGACCCCCTTTTCTGTTTGAAATTTTGGAGGTACTTGTCACCCCCGCTTAGCCAATAAAATGGTTGAGCGATTTTTGATTGATCACCCAACACCTGAGAAATCCTGGGTAGGAAGTTTTTCGTGCCCCACCCTGTATATACAGGGTGTCCTACGACGTTTCACTCAGGTGATAACCTCGGAACACGTCATCGAATGTTCCACTTTGTAATTTTTTATCATTTTCTTTAACAAAGCCTTAGTAAATAAGGTATTGTTGATTCTGTAATTTGATTTTCTAACGGAAATAGTATATCATTCAATGAGCGGATAATGATGGCTATTACTCACGAAGGATGAAGTTTGCACTACGAGCCGCAGGCGAGTAGTGTAATTATCCGAGTGAGTAATAGCCATTACCCACGACCACGAGTAGAATACTATACTTTTTCTATGAATAGTAGATAAAAGTAGATAATAGGCACGAGTTATGTGGTTTTTCATTTAATTAGGCATTCCAACGACCTGTCAAAACTATTCCAAAATGGCCACCGTGGCGGAAGTTCCTCATTCCGTATATGACAGTACAGAATTTAAAGCTTTTTAAAGTGCATTGTTTGATTGTTTTGTGACTAAACCCTATTTATTTTTTAATTTTATTGACTTCATAAGGCTTTTTTCTAATTAAAAATGCCACAAAAGTGTCTTGTAAGTTGATTTTAGAAGGCGTTTCAACAAGGATGATGTCAGGTTGTTTTCATGCCTAACCTTTCAAATTTTTCCAATAGGGCGATCCAAACAAAATGGCGGTCAATGCATGGTCAATGCCAAAAAATTGGCGCCATAAATTTAATTCAAACAACCGTGACATTTTTCATCAAAAAACTGTTTTTTGTGTATTTTGTGGTGTTTTTAGATGATTTTCTAGTGTTTGGAAGGATAATTTTCGTATTTTAAGATGGAAAGTTTTTAGTTTAAGAAATTATTAGTGGAAAACTCGGATGTATGCAAAAGTTATGATTTCTTTGTGATAAACCTTTACCTACTAAACAATTAGGTAGGTACTATCCAGGATTTGTTTCCTGTTTAGTTTTTTCTTAACCAAATCCTGAATCCTGATGTTTATTTTATTTTTCTGTATTCAAGGTATGGACACAAGCTGATGTGGAGGATAGTAAATGGCTTGGATCCATACACCATTTATGTAAAGAGACTTTTTGGTTTTTTAATATGGATTTCGTAAGATTTTTTCTCTTTTGCTACAATCCATGAAGCCCTCACAAAGTACAGACAAATCATTTTTTCTCCATTAAAAACCTGTGTTTTGTCTCTGCAGGAACGACATGAAACTAGACTTTCTCGCGATTAGAACGGCTCCCACAACTAAGTACAATACATAACGTATGCATTTTTCAAAAATCAACACTTTACAGACTTTATACAAATCAAAAATCGCAATAAAACGGCATTTTTTCAAAATAAAAAGGCATTGGCCTCCATTTTGAATTTCATTTTGACAGGTCGTTGGATTGCCCTATTAAAACGTAAAAATTATTCAATATCTCTAAAATAAAGCTATACTCGAAATACTTGTATGAATCTAAGCTTTTGTAGGCCTTCATTTGCTCATTGCTGTAAAAACTAGGTCAAAATGTAAACAAATATCAACTAGACATTTTTTCAAACTTATTGTTCGCCCACATCCCGATTTTCCTGCATTAAAGTCTTTGAATATTCACTCTGCATCTCAAAAAGTATATTATACCAAAATAAACTGTAATTAGCACGAAAATATTCCAAATAATCTCAAAATAAACAAACAAACGTCAAATTTTCCTTAATCGCCATATTGAAAAATCACGTGGTTTGGAGAGCCTAATTTTCGTAACAAAATTAATTGACAATTCTGACAGCTGGAGGACAAAGTGAGGTTAGGCTAGCACAAGTCTTATCCAAATTAGTTGTCGAAATGACCGATTAGAAGGTTGTCGAATTTTCTGATGGGATCTTAAATAATTAGGGCCGGTTTATCAATCAAGGGATAACTCGCTGAGTTTGCGGGCCCTGGGTTAACTCTAACTCTGGGCTAACTACCTACTCAATTTGAAAAGTGCTTATCCGAGCTTTTTCAATCCAGGGCTGGTAAACTCTCGGGTTCTTTGAAGGTTGGCATTACTTATGCAACATGCAACGTTGCCAGCTCACTTTTGTCGATTTTTTGACATTTTCTGCTCATAACCTTACTTTTTTATGGTATTTTTTGTCTCCGTAACGAAAATTCCGGTATCATGTACTTACCTATTCTGTGTGGAAATATGCTGTTTTGTTTTAAAGAGAAGAAAATGTCTGAGAGAAAAAACCACAAGCATAGTTACTTAAATTACGCGATACCTATCTGTTGGGAATTCGAGTCAAAGGGATTAGGGATTTGACTTCAACCTTACGTGGTAGGGGCGTCGCTTATGTTCTAGAAATTCTAGAACATCTCGATCATCATCACTGAAATCTAAGTCCTTCATCTCTTCAGATTTTCAAAATTTAAGCCAAAACCACAACATTCAAAAAAATTCGGACAAAAAATATCAGAAAATGTTGAGGTTAACCCAGGGTCAAATACGCTAACTTGCCGTGAGAGCGCGGGTTAACTTTTTCCTGGAATAACTTTCGAGTTAGCAGTTGACCCTGGATAGATAAACACTTGTCACAACTTTGACCCAGGGTCAAGACCCAGGGTTATCCCTAACTCATGGGGTAACCCTCTATTGATAAACCGGCCCTTAATAGTTTAGGTACCTAGTCAACAAATATTTTTTCTCCAAACGTCAAAAAAACGTCACTTTGTTAACGCCTGTCAAGATGTCAGAAATTTAATTTCTATGCTGCTAGGAAAATTCAGCGGGTTAACACCTGTCAAGGTGGTAGAAATTTAATTTCTATGCTGCTAGGCAACCGCAGCGGCAGTAGAGTAGAAGTACTTTTAGTGCCGCTGGAGCGGCAGCAAAAGTACTTTTAGTGCCGCTCGTACTTTTACTGCCGCTCAACCATCCAGTTACCCCCGAGCTTACCCCATTCGTTTGGAGAAAAAATAGCGTGTTGCATACGGAGTAGAAGCACTTTTTTGTGCTTCAGCAGTATTGCAAGCCTCACTACGTTCGGCTCGCAAACCTACTGCTTCAGCACAAAAAAGTAAAGCTTCTACTCCTTATACAACAATATACTATTATTAAATAATGAAAATCAAAGTTGTAAGCAAAACTGTATGCAAAATAATTTAAAATACGCATAAAAACATATTCTAAACAAACTTGCTTGGACATTGAATTTTCCTTTTTGACAGATGGATTGAATTGCCTAATGTAGTAATGAGACCAGGATATTTTCATTGGTTGAAAACAATTAGGTAATAAAAAAAAAACTCACTGTATGAGTATTCATTCACATTGATCCATAGAAAATGGATGTATATTACGCATATTATTCAATACTCATAGAAAAATGATATAATACCCATCAGTTACATTTAACGTTGCCGTCACCTGACCGAAACTAAAGCAAAAATGTTGAAATTGGATGACGCATGTAGAAGCGACACAAAAGTTAACCAAATCCTCAAAATTTCAATTATATTGGATGACGCGTTCCGAAGTTATCACCTGTATGAAACGTCATGGGACACCTTACACCTTGTATACATTAGTTCGGGTTAGTTGGGGTTTGTTGGGGTTTATAGGTACAGAGCGGGGCAAAAGAAATGAACAACTTCCCACCCAGGTTTTCTCAGGTGTTACCCGCAAAATTTCAAATAGAAAGGGGGTCGATACGTCATTTGAAAAAAAGTTTTATTAAGATT